CTCTTGGTTCGAGCCACTGTTCAACTGATGATCGAGTATAATCGATGATCGTGACATCACTACTAATTAGTTTACTGGTCTGGTGTATATGCTGAGATCCAGCTGCAGCGATTAATAAACAGGACGCTGAAGATTTCTCAATGGAGTTTGTAACAGGAAGTGGGCGAAGTAATGGTGCAGCCAAAGAGGCTGTGAAGCACGTACACACTGCTCATGAGCATCTTTGACCCCATGATGACCGTTGACCTTCAGTACCAACCGAGACCGGCATATATAATTTAAGATTGCCTTCTACATTACATCAGTATACATGTCACTCGTCATATATAATAACATCAAGTTAGCCCAATTCCGACTTGTGTTTGTGCAATGCAGAGTATCAACCATAGTATCAACGTACCTGTAGTAGTACTGGTACTACTATAGTACTAGTAGTAGCAGGAGTAAGATAATATAGGATATCCTATATTATCTTACTCCTGGTAGTATAGTACTATATACTACTACAGTACTAGTAATACTATTTTAATATTTACGTCAAAGGACATATATTTTATTATTTAGGTAAGCTCCATTTTACAAACAATACACAATGAATTATATCACAATATCTACTAAAATTAAAACTGAATGAAGACATATATTTAATTAGAATATATTTTAATTTCCAATGTACCACCATAGGTACCACTCCAGAGGCGTGTACAGGATTTGTACCAGGGGGGGGGGGTCTAACCGTAACCCAAACTTGCAAGCATGTGAAGGGGGGTCTGGGGGGTGCTCCCCCAAATTTTTTTTTTAAATTAGACCCCCTTAGATGCGTTTTCTGCGCGAGCAGGGGGGGGTCCGGAACCCCTGGACCCCCCCCCCTGTACACGCCCCTGCACTCCGTGTAATGTGTAGGTCCCGTGGGCCGTGGCTCGGATGACCACGTAAAATGGCGGTCCCGTCTCCAGTAATACTAAGGCCACTGGGGACGTAAAAGAACCACTAAGGGCGAAAAAAAACTCTGGCTGTGACCAACCTCAGTGCCATTCGGCTAAAAAAGGCTAACTACCTGGCTTTATCCAAGCTAGGTCACACCCCATGGCTAGCTATAGCCCTGGACGTTTATTCCTTACGGACTGTCCAGTATAGAAATAGAAGTAGAAGTAGGCCTACAGACACAGTGTAGGTGGGACCTTGGGTGGGGTGGGGCTACCTCACCTGCACTGTCCGCGGTTACCTTGCCTATGCTGTACACTTACGATAAATGTCAAACCATAAATCAATAAAATGATATAACATATAGTCATATACACATAGAATTAAGCATTTACCAACCGTTGCCATTGGGGGCTCAGTTGTCCTAGACTATGTTAACAAACACTCGTACCTTCATTACGTATTTCAGTTGCTATCCACAATCGCATCTGAGAATCGCATCACACACGGCGCAGGAATGAATAATAACACTACAACTTGCGCCACCTATGGGTAACAAACGCCAAAAAGAAGGTTTTATAATAGCTATTAGCTCTGCTATTAGTTGAAAACTTCAGGGGAATTTTCGTTTGAACACACGCGCACGCACGCACGCACACAACGTTTATTATAGTTAGCATACTTCTACTTCTACGCTATATTGGCCACCATCAACATACTGATGATTATGCCAACGGGAGGCGCTAGTTGAGACTAAAATAAAATTTTCCTTTCCTTGATTTTCTAAAGAAAAACACACAAAAAAAGCAAATTTTACTTAAAAAACTGCCCTGATGTCGTTTAGGCAGTAATCAGAGACTTAAAGGAACATAGATTTTCGGCTGTCACCACTTCAGTCGGTAAGGCGTTCCACTCTGTAATAGACCTGGGAAAGAAGGAGCCGTAATTTCCTGTAGTCACGTACATCTACAGCAGGATGGGATTTGAAAAGAGTGCTCTGACATGTTCCTGGTGCTTCGAGTAGGTGGTATCAGACGGTTGTTGGTATCCAAGTTGACCATGCCGTTGACGAGCTTGCATGTACATCATAGCCAAACGGGCAACCCTTCGTCTTGACTCCAGCGTCGGCCAGTTGAGTGTTTAAATTCAAGCATGTCAGTAACACTCGACCTGTTGTGGTGGCGGTTTGAGACGTATCTCGCTGCTCGTCTTTGGACCATTTCAAGATGTTGGCAGTCCTGCGCCTGATATGGATCCCATACCGTGCTGGCGTACTCCACCGTGGGCATAACCAATGAGGTATAGGCAAGTGACTTAACTTCCATTCAGGAAATCTTTAGGTTCCTTCTCAGGAATGATAGGGTTCCATTTGCTTTACTACATATTGAGCTGATGTGGTTGTGTCATCGAAGGTCTGATGTTAGTGTGACACCCAGGTACTTGGCTGATGTGGCCACGTCTAAGGTATGTCCGCGTAGAGCATATGGGTAACAGGTTGGTTGGAGTTTTCTGGTGATGGTCAGGACCAGACATTTGTCTTGGTGGAACTTCATCATCCACTTGTCTTCCCAGACTGCTAGTTGGTCCAAGTCATTCTGCAGTATTTGTGAATCTTGTGGTTTAGTCAGAGCTATATGAATCAATGTGTCATCTGCAAAAAGTCGAACGGTTGCTTGTGTATCTTCCGGGATGTCATTTATGTAGAACAGGAACAGGCAAGGTCCAAGCACTGAACCTTGCGGGACTCCTGATTCTACATTTACAGGGTCAGATCTCTCTCCGTCGACGACGACTGTCTGCATTCGATCTGACAGGAACGAACTAATCCAGGTGTTGGTTTTACCACGGATGCCATAGTGATTTAACTTGTGAACGAGTAGGCTGTGGTTTACCTTGTCAAAAGCTTTTGAAAAGTCCATTATTACACAGTCGACCTGCTTTCCAGCTTCCATGCTTTTGGACACATCGTCCACAAAGTCAATAAGCTGAGTTTCGCAGGAGACACCCTTCCGGAAACCATGTTGAAGCGGGTTGAGAATGTTGTGTTTATCGGCATGAGACATGATGTGAGATGTCACAATGTGCTCCATGACTTTGCAGCTGATGCACGTCAGTGACACTGGTCGATAGTTTTCAGCCAGGTACCTCTGACCTTTTTTAAAAATTGGTGCGACATTTGCATTTCGCCAGTCTTGCGGGACTTCACCCGAGTTGTAGGAGGCTTGGAAAATCATAGTCAGGATTGGCGCAATTTCTTTCGATAATTCCTTCAGTACACGAGGACGCATATTGTCAGGTCCTGGAGCCTTACCCATGCTTGAGGCCCTGCAGCAGCAGCAGCATAGTTCGTAGCCGTGAGGACAAGGTGCATAAGTTATTTTAAAAATCTTCACTGATATACACAATTAACTACTTTTTTTTCCATAAAATATTATATAGCAACAGAAATAATACTGTACAATACCAAAATATTGCAGAAAATAATATATTATTTAACTTTATTAAAACAATATACATGATGATCATAATGATCAAAACCTCACATATGAGAGTATGTATGTATGTATGTATGTATGAACGGGAACCTTTAGATCAGTGTTTCTCTTTTTATTTTTGATAGTTTTCCACCTGTCTGCATGTAGTAAAGTAGTGAAACACAAGTTTTCTTATAACAGTCACGTCAACATAACTCCACAATAACCTTTAATATCAGCTACCGAGAGTTCTATTCCAGGCATACACTACACATACAAATAAATACATGCATAAATACCATCACACAGACAATGTACAGGTTAGTTTTGTCATGATAAAAGCTGGAATAAAAAGCTGAGAGTTCCAAACTATCGAGTTTTAGTCCACGAGTCCAAATAAAAGTGTCAATGACACTATAGCTCACCTTGGGTGTGATAGAAGAGGGAGATGATATTTAAAATTTGGTAACTGTTTCATTTATGACGAACCAAAATGTGATCAATGTCCTTATTCCCTGTTTTATACTAATAGAAATTTCACTGCTTTGTTTCAGGGTTAGTTTTGATGATAAAATAAATGTTTCTGATCTGAAAGTCTGAAATCTGGGCGAGAGATGGCGCTACGCCTAAATGATCGCCATTTTGGTTTTTGATTATTGTGCAAATAAAGCAATAAAATATTCCAGTCAAATTACTGCAACGAAGAATCTAAAACACAATATTACACTTAGGTATGATTAGGTAGGTAGGTAGGTAGGTAGGTAGGTAGGTAGGTAAATTTAACAAAATCGAATGAATCTAGATGGCCATTTTCATTTTTGCCAAAAGGTGGGCGTGGCTCGAAAGTAGGTTGACTAGCGTGCTTCAAAATAGAACGTTCAAATCTCTCCCATAGGAGTAACAACTGTATGCAATTTGAAACATGTGGGTCAAACGGTTCTTGAGTTATCGTTGACTGTAGGCAGACACTGAAATGCATAGTGAAATTGCCAAAATCTACCTATAATTTGCATAATTTAAAAAAAATATCAAAACCTGTGTGATATGTTTTGGGGCCAGTCCTTATTCATTCACATACAAAAAATGAGCAAAATCCGTTGAACCTAAACTGACTTATTACCATTTCCATTTTTGCCAAAAAGTGGGCGTGGCTCGAAAGTAGGTCGACTAGCGTGCGCCAAAATAGGATGTTCAAATCTCTCCCATAGGAGTAACAACTGTATGCAATTGGAAACATGTGGGTCAAACGGTTCCTGAGTTATCGTTGACCGTAGGCAAACACTGAAATGCATAGTAAAATTGCCAAAATCTACCTAATTTACATAATTTACAAAAAATATCAAAAGCCCTGTAATATGTTTTAGGGCCAGTCCTTACTCATTCACATACCAAAAATGAGCAAAATCCGTTGAACGTGAACTGACTTATGGCCATTTCCATTTTTGCCAAAAAGTGGGCGTGGCTCGAAAGTAGGTCAACTGGCGTGCTCCAAAATAGGACGTTCACATCTCTCCCAAAGGAGTAACAACTGTATGCAATTTGAAACATATGGATCAAACGGTTCTCAAGTTATCGTTGACCGTAGCCAAATGTTGACGGACGGACGGATGGACGGACGTACGACGGACAACGCCCTATGGCAATAGCTCATCTTGACAATGTCAAGGCGAGCTAAAAAGTAATCCGCATACATAACCTGTGTTGATGTACGCTGAGGATAGTGACATGGCACATTTATCATGATATTATGGTCCCACGATTCTACAAGCAGTGTTGATGTTCCATTCGGAATTCTCATCCTCTGGCATTAAATGCATACCAATCTATAACAAAAATGCCCACTATGATATAATTATTGATTATTTAGAAATGAGTTATGCTGAGAAAGCAGTTTAAAAAGCATATCGAATACAGAATAGTTGAAAATAAAAGGTCTGATGCCATCCCAATGTTTCTAAACACCTGCATAGTTTAATTGCATGATTATTTATAGAAAATAACTATCAATCACCGAAACAAACACTTATAACTTTATTTACTTATAAATACCTTGAAATTATTTCGTGGTACAGTAATCTGGTGCTTCAGCGAAGAGTGGTTTGATACACAGTTTGTACTTTCACTGCAGTCTAAATGTACCGTCACAGTCTGCGAAGACTAGATATAAAAACGTTTTTTTAGAATTACTCGCATAATAAATGCAATGTTTATTCATTTACGCACAGAGGAAACATGTCTTAAGTTTAGCTGATGTTGAGATTGCGCATCGAAAATTGAGGACCAGTGATCCATATAGAATTTCTTTGTAATTGACAAAGAAATTGCTTATGTATATGATAATTGCTTTGAAAAATGTTATGAATGGTTTAAGGTTACATCATTAAAGCTGGTTACCTTATTGTGAACAACTAGCGTTACTCTTGTATCACACATGTAGGTGAGTAGTGCAACGCTATCATCACTGTTTAATACTTGGTGACTCCCTCTGGTGTTAGCAAACTGACATATGGCCTCCTCCAATCGTAAATCGGTTGTCAGTGATCCGTTGGTGACAAGCTCTCCCTTACACTCATCCAGATAAACATTCAGCTTGAATGGGCAAGCCTGCAAAATTGAAACATAGCATCAATACACTCAAGAAATGTAAAATCGTAACAATAATTTCTTCAGGCAAAAACTAATGGTTCCAAAAGTAAAAAATATATATATTCAATGTGAATTTGATTATGCAAGCATGTATTCAATAATTAATTGTAGAATACACAGCAGGAAGAATCAATTGTATCCCTATAACTTTTCTTTTAGTATGATGAAGCAAAATTAATAATAATCCCACCCCCAAAACATTACAGTAAAAAATCTATATTTAATGAGCGACAACTACTCAGACGGACATAACAATGTTGGGCTTCACCTCATCTAGCTGCAAATTCTTATTGTAGCCAATGGTGTTCAAGGTCACCCACAAGTCCTCTGTGTTGCCTTCGTTATCTTCTGCTTCCATCTGGTGCAGAGCTATGAAGCCCTGCTGAGTTAACTCACCCATTTGTAGAGCAACATTTTCTACAAGAAAGAATTCATTTATTACTTATTATTTACCATAACATTATTATTCGTCATAGCTACAAAGAAAAATTTCTGAAGCATGATAATGAATCTTTGAATTCTACTGTTAGTTATGTCAGTTCAAACCGAGTACACTAAAATATACAGAAAAACTACATAAGATATAAAGACAACCAATTCTTATTTAATTCCTTATATAGCACCACTGATGCATTTATACAAGTGAATGAATAGCGATGAGTATCATAGAGGCTCTAACCCATTCCTGGGATGACAGAGTTCTCCCCAGGCCATTAACACACGTCTCCAAAAACTGAAGCTAATTTGCAACATCCCATAAATCCTCCGACATGCCTTAATTAGCTAATGGGCATGCCTTAATTTCCAGTTGCTTACTTTTGACAATCCCAACACAGTCATGCTATGTTTTCACAGCTGAATGTATACCTTTCCAAAGTGGTTAAGTTTACCTGCATATTTGGGCCGCTTATGACATGCATGACTGACTCCCAATTAGCAATCAGGGACGAATTGGCCAACTAAGGGATATCCTTATTGAAATTCCAAGAAAGAATCCTAGCCAATATATATATATATATATAATATACCTTCAACAACGGTCCACTCGTCATCTGCAAGTTCTTCTCCACTTGTGCGCAAGTTAAAATAGCTGAACTCTTCTCTACTGAGCAAGCCATTGTCATCCTGGTCACACATGTCGAAGATCTCTGTTAATGCCTGCCTGCGGTCACAAACACATACAACTCTACATAACACTCTAAATAAGCACATGTATGTTACACAGATACGAGTAGTACGGCAAGTACACATGGCAAGTTGACACTTGCCTCCAGTCACAAACACATATAATTCCACGTAATACTCCAAATAAACACATGAATACACACGTATAGGGTAGTATTGCAAGTATAAATGACAAGTTCATACATGCCTCTATTCATAAACACATAATTTTATGAAACTGTAAATAAAGATATAAGCTTAATTTACCGGAATGCCTTTGTCAGCTGCACTTTCTCCTTGTCTTTCCTCACCAGTCGAGACTCTGTGTGTGGTTGTCGCAGGCGTGGCCTGAGACGGCAACCCGTAGTGAAGGGAAGCAGCAAATACTTCCCAGAATCCAGGTCCACCCGCACATAGTAAACACCCTTCAACAGTGGCAAGTACACACACTCACATGAGCATCCACTTATTAAATAAATAAATATTATATATATATATACACATCTATATACCATAAAATGCTTATTAGAAACATTGGGCACACCATTTTATAACCAAACCTGTATGTACGGGTCAGTTAAGGGAAATGCCAAGTGTACTTTAAAGACAGGTGACCGTTACATAGGGGTGGTTTTGCTGTCTAAATTTCACTCAAGAGACATGCCAAGAGTCTTTTATCGACAAGTGTCTATTGTCTAAATATTATTACCAATCAGAGTACAACTGTACATGGTTATATTATGTATAAATACCTTTTTGTCTCGCTTCTCTGTGCACGTCACAAGAGTACTTGCATGTTCCCCATCTAGTCTAAGTATGTAGAGAGCTGTGTCGATTGTTGGGTGCGTTTTTTCTCCTAAATCAAATCGTTATACATACATTACATAAATGCATACCAATCATCAATAATGAAAACTCCCTTATCTGCTGAAACTTTCAAATACCTATTATTTTTGTTTTACAAACACCTAATAGACATGCTATCAAGTGGCACCACGAGGGAAGCGAAGCTACTCTACGCCTGCCACAAATACCATAGGTCATAATAAACTCAAAACTTTGATGTGTATTATACTATTCAGTTCCCCGGCAAGACCTCCCTGGGATGTGAAGAATCACAGACATTTTTTTACTCCTACACGTGTGAGCCTCAAATCCCAAGCCTCAGCATTTAACATTTCATCGATTCTTATTTTCCATGCACGCAGGTTTTATATAGTTTCCATTATAAGTATTAGGTATACACATGGTTTTCATGATTAGTACTTCACTAAGCTCACACATGGTTTTCATACCAGTTTCTGCTGTGGGACTGTATGGTTCTATTGTCATCCACACACTCGACGACCTTGGCAGTTTGAGGATGTAGTGATGGTTAACAACGGTGCTATCTTCCTCCAGGTAGAAGATCCCCTTGCTTTTATGGTGGTACCAGTCCTGCACACATCAGAATGGCAAAAGATACGTTATTATGCAATAACTAGAGAAGAGTATGTACACCGAAGAAACGTGAAACATGCTGAAAATGTAAGGACGTTAGGACATAAAAGAACGTAATTTGACGAAACTGTAGGAAACACATCCTGGCACTATAGCACAGTTGTGGTAGCAAACTAACTAAAATATATTAACATGTATGCTAGATAAATGCAAAATTGAACAAATGATATTATTAACTGTAACGTGCTAATTTAAACAGAGCATCAACACAAGTAGCTTATCAATCGACTTTTTAAATGCCCATTGCAAAATTAGTTACAAAGTCCAGCAAACCTGTAAATTTGATGGCTTTGAAACTTTCGTTTTTAACTTGGCAACAGCTGCTTTCTTTATATCTTGTACATTTATTTCTGTTCCTATAAAAACATTAATTAAAGACAGACAGTAAATTCATATATACATTTTTTGCTATATTGAACGCATATTTTGATTATAATATATGACAAAAGGAAATTGGCTCTTTTAATAAAATTTCACTTTACACCTCAACTTTTTACAAACAGACTCGATCCAATGTTGAAAGAACGATTGGTGTATATGATTTAATTTAATAGCTCTAACAGTAGAGTATTTTTTATTATTTGGCTTCTGATGAAAACATGCCTGCATGCCTTCGTGTTACTTCACCATACAAATATAAGTTAAACGAAGTCATAAAACCGGCATCATTTTGCTAACTCAAACATAGCTTAAACATACTTTTTAATCGTCTAGGCTTTGGTTCAGGTGTCTTCTTTCCTAGAGTGACTGTAGAATCTTGACTCACAGCAGATGAGTGACTCTCTCCAGACTGATGCCTCGCTCTCTTCGTCTGCATGTCATTCATACGCTCCACAGCTACTGACTGACACTGTTCCACCGTCTTCAGTATTATCTTACAGAACTACAAGCCCAGAAAAAACGTGTTATTTGAGTCTTCCACCATAAACACCAAGAAATATTCATAGTCATATATAGTGAGTAGACACTCACATAATACTTAAATAAATTTACTGGAATGACTGAACAAAAAACGAAATATTGCCTCTTTGTAATCAAGTTTTCCGTATTTATTGATATCTGCCTTGCGAAAAATTCCCCTCACTTCACTTGGTGACATCAGTTCTCCTTTCTGCAACGGCAATATAAAATCAGCAATATTAACACTGAGTCACTCTTTGTTGACTACTACTAGCTTACACCAGCTAGATATTATTTCCTCGTCATTATTTTTATTGAATGCGATAAGGAATAACAATTGGAATGACTCAGAAGCTACCACTTTGCTTGTCACCAGTGTCATTTTTGTTCTCAGTAAGCTTAAATAATGAGGTAGCAGGTCTTGTTTTACTCTCTTGTTTCATTATAGTGTGCTCACTCGGTCTGAGCAGATATGAACATAAACCAATGAGATATTTTACAACATAATAATGGCAGAAAATACAGTAATTATTCAATCTTGTTTTTCATGTTCTTTAGAAACACTGTAGTGTAGCCATCATGCAGGCCCCCTGGAACACACGTGCACACACGCATGCACGCATCCACACAAACACGGGGCATGCACGCACACAGACAAGCACGTACTACCCAAACCACTTACAGTTGTCATAACAGAGAGGAACTCTTCGTGACTGATAAAACCATCGTGGTTTACATCAATTTTACGGAAAGCATTTATCAGCTGGTTTTCAGACATGGGTGCCTCAGACCTCACAATAGAGCAGAATTTGTTGAATGACACTGTACCTGAAAGACACTAGATAATGTAAGATGCTTGAACTTAGATTAAAAATAAAAAACGACCGCATAAATATCAGAATATCTGAGTACCATGCAGATAGAATAATAATTGATTATCTAAACGACAGGCAACTATGTGTGACTTTTACTCAAATAATAAGTAATATTGTATTGCACTGTGATAATACGTCGTCAGAATAAGATGTGAATAAATTCATTCATTAAATTGTAGATGCAACTGCTTACATATATTAAAGTAGCTCCTACGGTTATAACAATTAAGTGCCGCAGAGCGACAGCGCTCAACTGACGTGTACTGTGGCCAGGTATTCTTCTGATAAACTCACTAGTAACCGAATCAAGTGCGCCCTCCTGCCACCGCGTTCGCGCTCTGAGTATATATCTAGGATACTACTAATACAGATCTAAAATCTATGATAGGCTTTGCTATACCTACTGGTAGTACAGTAATAAAGATACAGCTGTGTAACTTTAATGACTTCGCTATATTAACATGTTATCATGGATATGCGTCGAGCGCGAGCGAAGTGGTGGTGGTGGGAGAGGGTGGTGGAGGGAGAGGGTGGAGGGGAGGGAGGGAAAGGGGGAGGGGGAGGGTGGGGGAGGGGGGGGGAGGGATGGGTGGAGTGGGCTCTAATAGCAAAAGCAGTTCAGTCCTTTGTTAACGGTCAACAAATCCATGTTTAACCCTCCTCTTGAGGGTCAAAAGGTTATCAGACACTTATAACTCTTCGCACGTCAGCGGAATTAAAGTAGATTTCATGGTCCTTTCAATAAAGTGATAAAAAACAGTAGGTCAGCGCTGAAACAAAAATGTTTTGCACTCGGTCCGTTAGACCATGTCCTCTGAAAATGTCTGATATCTGACCTTTCCCCCACGGCCCTTTGACCTGTGACCTCCAATTTCGCGCTGGTGATGGGTTTCGATTCCTCCCCATCACACTATACATCAAATATTAAGAGCGTAGGTCGAGACGTTGAGATTTGTGCCGCAATTCTGTATTTCCTCCTATACCTTAAGTTAAGGGGGAAATATTCCCCCTCCATTGACACATCTTGACCTTTGACCCTTGACCCCCCAAATTCGACATCCCGAGTCCTTTTCACGATCCCCCCCACGTCCCGAATATCAAGACCGTACGTCGAGCTGTTAAGATTTGTGCCCAACTGTTGACGGACGCACGGACGGACAATCATGCAATTCTACAAGCTGCATCTGACTTCGTCAGCTGAGCTAAAAAGAAATGGCAACTTACCATTTTCTTGCTCCCAATATTTCAGTACAATTCTCTGAGAAGGATTTCTACCAGTTTGCTGCAAAGCTAAAAGATGACATCATTTTAGTACATGTATACACTAAAAGTGATTACGTCATCGAAAATAGTAAAGTAAAAAAAAAATGTCCACTTTTCACAAAATGTAAGTGATTCTGTTCACTTTTTATGATTAAATAGCTGCATTATACTTCCTATTTTGCTATTCCGTTCGGTGTGAACACTCTCGTGACCCATACATAGCCCATAGAAAGCATTTAATGCCATGATCATATCAAATCGCCCAGGTTTTTTGGATTTTTAACTAGTTGAGAAACAATCTTATCAGGTAAGAATTTGAGGATACATGTACTAGTCCGGTTAATACTTAATTTTCATGTAAAAAATTGCAACAAACCTTTTACAAATATACACCATAGAAAATTCGTGACGTAGTCAATTTAATAAAGACCAAAACAACTAATGTACATTACACTAATGAATGATATGATTTATCATGTTAATATCATGGTTGCCCAAAATCTTGGCATGAAAACGGTCTTGTAATAAACTAACATAATGAAAACAGCTTACACATTGCCTTACTGTGAATTCAGTTTTCTTTTAAGCATATGTTCTATAACGTATAGTAGCTCTCTGATATAAAGTACCTCTGTATAGGTCATCTTTGCTTGTCAGGTTTTCTTCGATTGAATTTTTAATTGTCAGATAGGCTGCTTTACACTCTAACATAAAATCTTGTCCAGTACTTCCAGTAGTCCTTTGCATCGTTTACAGTTATAGTGTAAGAAAATTTATGCTTGGTAGTATTTGCATGGAACTGTAAAATAAAAAAGCTTAATTCATATCACAATGCCAGAAACAATTAATACACATCGTAATTCATTTCTTTATATCGAATAACAAATTTTGCAAGTCTGGTAATCACATCCATACTAGGAAGTAAAATAATGTTTCAGTGCGCGACATTAGCGCCGTTTTGCCAGCGGTTCCCGGTTCAACCCCCTAACCCGCAGGTTCAAGTCCGACTCACAGACATACAATTACATATACCCTAATTGGCCTTGTGGCGGAACGAATATATAGAGCTGTAATACAAGTTGCACATCAATTGCTGGTATCTGTCCAATCTAGTAAATTGTGCCCTGGAAAATTAATTGGTCAGGTAACTATATCTTGAGCTGGAGGCCAACAACTGTCAATGTAAAATCATGATACACACACCATGTATTTTGTCCGTCGATGGCACACTTCAATGCTACCAAGATAGTGACTAGGGTCTAGGGTGTCACGCATTGTGTCTGCAGAACGGGAACCTGCTGGTGGTCACTATTAATTTGTTTACTAATATTTAATAGTTAATAAACATATGTAACAGGTTTTGCCCAATCAGAAAATTGGTTGCCCAAACTGCGAATGCGCTGAAATTCCTAGTTTGTGCCAAGATTCCAAGTTTGGGTACAACATAGTCAATCACGACTATCGATATCCAACAATAAAGTACTCAGTAACTTATCAGCAGCAAAATATGGTCTACATATAATATTCACGAGTTCTTATTATTGCTTTAATATATATATTTTTTTATTTTATTTTATACCCGGGTACTTATAATATTTTTACAATATGTGTGTATAGATCATTACAACTATTTATCTTCATAGTTGAATATGTAAGTTAGTGCACAGGTAGTGTCATATATTCATGTGCAGATCATGCAGATATACATGACATTAATCTACATAATATATATTATGTAGATTAATGTCATGTATATCTGCATGATCTGCACATGAATTAGCAGTAACTTTCAGAAGTCCAGCGGATAGCAGCAGTCTCACCACTTCACAATAACCCTAAAAACTATTCAACTCATACAAGAACTTATAACCTTCTATTTAGCCTGTTAAAAATGATACATTAAATTTCGTTATCCTAACGTATCTGCTAATTCCCTTATTACAGCTGCATGAACTGATCACATATGTCAACATAACATTCTAATTCTGGGGTTCAGTGTAGATACAATAATGTAACCCAACAAGAGTAGGGTTCTCTGTAACCCTACTGCTGGTGGGTTACATTATTGTATCCAGGGTTCAGAGGCCTCCAACTCTGGATGAATGAACTAGGCCCTTCAGTGTCACTTGAGCTGAAGGGGTCATTGTCGAATCAGGTACTACATGTATTAGATACAATAATGTAACCCAAACACAGGATAGGGTTACAACGCGTCCCTATCCTTTTGTGTGGAGGAACCCCTGAGTGAATCACTCATGGCGGTTTGCTGGTGCGTTTTCATAGACCCTCTGAGAAAGCCTCTTACTTCGTTTTGAAGAGCGGATTCACCGACCAATCGGAGGGTGCTGCGTTTGCCGATCGCTATGCGCATTGGTAATCCGAAATGGCGCTCAGTATATTCGCCGCTCGTCACTTCGAATTTTTGTAACAGGTTATATTAGTTTAATACAGAGTATTGTGATACATAGTAAGTTCCAAGATAGCGGAGAAAGCTATAGGTTCGTGTTGAGAATAAACCCAGTTTGGAAGTTCTAGTCTCTGAAAACGCACTAGCAAACCGCCCTGAGTGATTCACTCAGGGGTTCCTCCACACAAAAGGATATAGGGACGCGTTGTAACCCTAGCTATCCTGTGTTTGGGTGACATTATTGTATCTATACATGTATACACAAACTGACAAAGTGTACCCGACTTGTACTACAGAAGTGTACTCTAACCCTAACCCTAAACATACCTCATAGTCATATAAAAATATAAACATAATAGTAATACTAAACAACCTAAAACTACCTCGGGTACATATATGTAGTACCTGATACGACAACGACCCTTCGTGGCCCGTGCGTCACTTGACGACAAATTACAACCAGTTTTTCGACAGGTTTTGGTACACGACGCAGTAAAGCCTAATAGGAACCTAGCTTCCGCGTACCGACGACCCCAGACAACTCCTAAAAGTGTCACTGTCACTGCAACAGCCAAGTATTCGGCTCGCGTACTGCGTTCGGTAACACGTTCGATTACACGTTCGGTAAGGCACACCTACAGGCCCAGGCCGCTTGCTCTAGTAGCCATTAGGCTAAACTCTTCTGGATTCGGTCAACTACACACTACAGTGACAGCGTGTCACATCGAGACAAGAAAGTTACTGGAAAGCGGAAGCCAATTTTACAGTTTATACTAAAACTTTAGTGCATTATCATGATAAAAATCACCAGTATCATTACTATTACTATTACTATTAGTAGTATTATATGCAGTGTTACGTTTATTCAAGCTGAAGTAATCCAGGCATCGCGGATAGGTGTCTCCTTCCAGAACTCTAGGTGAGTAAATCAAAAACCTTTCTAGTTATATCTGTATCGGTAAATTTATTGTTCTCAATGAGTCAATCCATCAATCTAAATCGATGAAGACGAGAAGACTGGGGAACCGACTCTTCACTGATGTAAGAGAACAAGGTAACAAGACTAGTAACCCATCTACGTAGTGTGGAAAACACCGCCACCTATGAGCCGCTTGGCTGCACAAACATATACAAACAGGCCCACGCATCATAAGTGGCGAATAATATGATAAAAGCCGCTGCACGTAATCAAATGCTCTAGAAACCTGAACGGAATCATATGAAGCGTCTGAGCAAGCAAAATTTCCTGCTTGAGTAGTTCTAAGAAACTGCTGCTGAACAGGCATTACCGGTGTCCTGCTTCAGAGTGAAGGAAGGTACGTGCAGCATGTGGTTACAAAACTCTCACTGAAGTTTCTCCTTAGTGTTTCTCCTAAGTTCTCCTTAGTGTTGGCCTTCGCTTCGGTGATCGATTTACTCCAGATTTGACGTTGCGGTAATGTTATAGCAATCTTATCATTTATAAGTATCGCCGTGTTAACCGGCTTCTGTGCATGCTGCCACTGCATGTAGAGACCAGTATGGTGTCTGGTGGTACGGCCGGGGTTCAGGATTTATCCTAGATGATTTGGTATTCAGTATTAGTTGTTGGCCTTGTCTAGTCTAGATGTCCTGTTCCCCCATTCTTTCTTCTTTTTTAAATTCCATTTTCCATTGGTTCTTTTTTTTTGGGTTGGGGTTTGCCCCCCCAATTGTTTAGGTTTGGGGTTAGGTTTAGGTGTGTTGGGTTTGGGTGTGGTCTTTTATAATACCCATATCTGTCCAATGTAAGTCTTCTAGTTCTACTTCTACTTCTATACTGGACAGTCCGTATAAGGAATAAACGTCCAGGGAGTGCGGGAAAGACTCCAGGTGCACGTGAGAGATTTGCAGGGAACATTTTTAAATGTAGGCAGTAATGTACGTGTTCCAGAGATCCAGATGAGACGGGATACTAGATGATAAGCAGTTCCGAAAGCGAGGTGCTTGATCCGACAGCGCTGAGCGGCTTCGCACGGCAGTTCTGCGGAAAGGTCCGGCAACGCGACCCGGCGGGAACGTCCTACGACAGTAATGCAGCGGCGTGCAGCTATGGGATCCGTGCGCCTGGCGTACATGCATAGGCGCGGCGCGGGCACGGATCCCATAGCTGCCAATAGCTCAGTTGCATAGCTGGGCAGATAGCTGTTTGGCGAAGCTGTGTGTAGTTGCCCCCAAGGCCCCCCGTGATGGTGGTTTCGGCTGTCTCGAGGCTGGCTTTAAGCTAAGCGATACTGCCTGAGCTCAGATGTTTTGGGGCCAGAGGGATCCCAGTGAATTGCTGTGGCTGTTGACTAGTGAGTAAAGTGACTCCGCCGGTAGCAGGTTCCTAGGCTTCTGAATTGTTCTAACGGAAAGAAGCTGAACCGGCGTTTCAAGATAGAGATTGATGTTCAGAGTACGGTGATTGGATAAGATGATGTTAGTTGATAAGATAGGATCTTGGAACATCTTCTGCTATCCGCTGAGCCGGCTGAGCGGCTGTACCATCAGGGGGGGGGGGGGGCGGGGGGGGGGGGGGGGGGGGGGGGGGTGTCGCGAGTTCTGATGGTTGTTGCTATGAAGCGCGGTTGTGTGCCCGCGGAATATGCTGGCTGCTTTTGGTGAGGAAGGATGGTAATGTCGACTGCTGCTTGTCCATTGATTATTTTCCAGAATAGGGGCTGTCGGTTGATCAAAAGCTTGCGTTCCTGCAAGGAGGGCGCATTGTAGGTCTAGTGCATATTTGTCGTACAGCCTCTGCAGTTTGCTGCTTAATTTCCCGTTTTACGAAAGCGCGCTGCTCGCGTGCTCTGCACTTTCTCCGCAGGGGAGGGCAGAATATATCCTTCTGTGTTGTGAGATGCGCCGACCACTACTTGGCTATTAACCTCGGCGTAGGCTTGCCTCTCACGTATGCTTTCAGTTAGGGCCACCGTAGGCCAGCTTTATACGTTGGGCGGGTTCGGTTTTTAAAATGTTGGCAAGCTGTGAGGGCCGCAGGAAGCGCAAAGACAGGAGAGCCATAGCGACAGGAGCGGGGGGGGGAGGGTGTGGGGGAATTTTTGAGCAATGTAATTGAGGCTCAATTGACATAGGTCGAGGTATGCAGGCTTAATTTGTAGATCGCACGAGGTACGCGTGACAGTCGGCGCCGTCGTCCGGCGTGCGTCCATCGCGTTCCGTGCAGACAGTTGTTGGGCACAAAGTCCTGAAGACCCGCTCGACGTACGATTCATAGTCGGTGTGGTGGGGGGTAATCCGAAAATGAGTTGGGATGTCGTAAGCTGGGGGTCAAAGGTCAAGAGGGTGTAAAAGAAGGGGAACATTCCCTAACTCGAAACTTAAGGTATAGAGAGGAAATGGTCACGAATTGCACGCACAAATCTAAAGCGGCTTTGGACCTAGGGGGCTCGGGATAGTCGGCTGTACTACGCACCATGGTAGGAAAAGGCCCATCACTAGTGGCCTGAAATTGGAAGGTCAGGCAGGGTTAAAGGTAATTGGGCGCAGGCAGGGCTAGCATTCTTACGACCATTTTCTGAGGACCATGGTCTGACGGAGCGATTGAAAAACTTTTTTGTTTCAGCGGTGAACCTACCTATTTTGTATGGCTTTATTCGAACGAGGACCGATCGAAATGTACTTCCGCTTGACATGGCGAAGTAGTCCAACTGGGATCAAGCTTCTCCTGACTCAACCTTCACGCGAGGGTCTAACACATGGATTTGCTTTACTGTTAGCAAAGCACGTTTGACTGCGCGGGTTTGCTAGTAGAATGCTATACATGTATGCGCCGTGCGGAGCGTATGAGCGCTCAGCCATGCTCACACGTTGGAAATTTCACAAAGCTAACTTTCGGTCTCGACAGAAGGTTTATGCTTTCAAAGCTCGCTAAAATGTTCTCATGGCGCATTCCTGGTAACTGTCCAGTCCGGTACGCATCCGTAACTTGTGCGACACTGCCGAGTCGCCCACCCTCCGCCAGTGCATCGTGGTGGGTGATAGTCACTCGTGTAGTTTTGTCTGCATTAACTTCAGTTAAGGCCTGGCAGCTCTCTATTTCAGCCTGTGAGGCGCTTGCGTAGGTAAATGGATGATTGCTTACCGCCTACTCTGTGCTGCAAATAGTTGTTGCTACTATGTACGATGAGAGCTTCCATCTTTAATCTTAAGACACTTAAACGTACGCGCCATCTCGTGGCAACTTTCATAACGATCTCAACGAACATTCCTTCGAGAAGGTTCCTGATACCATCCCCAGGGTTCTGCCCAGGATTTTTTAGTGCCGGGCGCATCCAGTCGCAAGATGCAAGCGCCGTAGGCGCGAAGCCAATCTAGGGGGGTCCGGGGGCATGCCCCCCTGAAAATCTTTGATTTTGGATAGTCTGAAACTCAATTTCCTGCATTCTGAGCAATAAAAAGCCCATATATCAGACCCTTTTTTTTTTTAATAAAAAATTAGTGCCGGGCGGAGATTTATAGTGCCAGGCGGCAACCGCGAGTGCCGGGCACACCCGCCCACCGCCGCCCACCGTGGGCAGAACCCTGCATCCCTGTGCCTTTCACTGTTTCGGCGCGTATGTGAACACATTTGGGACTAACCGGGTTTACTAGAATCCCACCACTCCACCACAGAGTCACCGCAGTAGACGTGAGATGAGCGCTGTCACTCCGCGGCACTTGTTACATTAAAATAAGTGCATACCTGAGGTGAAATTCTTTCTTTTTTTATTTGCTTGGGGGGGGGTTGTGCGAACCCCCTGAACCCCCTGGCTACGGGCCTGCTTTGTATGCCATCTCTTTGACAGGTTCTGGGCATCCTACAAGGTTTCTGCTGATGAAATTTAGGGCCCGGGTTGCTTTTCCTTTCGACCGGCTGATGTTGGTAGACCAAGAGAGGTCATCACTGAGCTCCACGCCGAGGTAGAGTTGATGTTCCTCCTTTTTGAGCTTGGTTCCCATGATGGTATAGGTCTGGTTTATTTGGGTTTGTTTCCTTGATATTGTGAGGCTGGTGCACATTTTTGGATTGAAAGACATTTGCCAGTTTTTGGACCATTGAACTTGTCTAGTTTGTTTTTAAAGCAGTTGACCGTCTTTTGGCCTCGACAACAAATGTTGGCAGTGCGCTCCATGCATTCACCACTCTTTGGCTGAAGAAGTGCTGTCGCAATTGCAGCCTGGATCTATTTTTGAATAGTTTCAGGGGATTACCCCTGGTGGTTCCGGTTGCCGGTGTGAAAAATTGGTTGCTATTAATTAATGTTTTCTTTGTCTGTTAAAATTTTGTAAGTTTCGATCAGGTCTCCCCTCACTCTCCTCTGTTTCAGTGAATATAGACCTAGGATTTCCAGTCTCCTCTCGTATTCCAGATTACGTATAGAGTGGACTAGCTTGGTTGCCCTCCTATGCACTTTTTCTAACGGGTCCATATCTTTCTTATAGTAGGGTGACCAGGCTTGCACACAGTACTCTAGGTGGGGTCTGATGAACGTCTTGTACAAGATAAGGAAACACCTTTTATCTACGTACCTACTTGAATGTTTTCTTGATCGATCTCAGTACTCCCATCGCTTTGTTCGCTGCTCTGGTACACTGTAGAGTGGGGTTCAGGTCGCTATTTATCCATATCCCAAAGACCCCAATGCCCGTTGATCAAAGATTTTATTGTTATTAGTTTTTGCACCCTCTACCTTCTCACAATTCCTGACCTTTTCTACCTTCTCCCCTCTAGTTATTCACCTCTTATATATTCTGCTCTTCTTCTTGTATTCTTCTCCTTTCTTGCATGCCTGGGTCTGCTCTGCCTTCTATACCATAGGCATATATCACAGGCAGAAGATAGAGAAAAGGGTAAGATATAGCCAATTACTAACTAATACCCTGCTTAGTTGGTTTATTGTCATTTTAATGTTCTTCTCTACCTTTGTCATGTAGGGTTACTCTTTCACCAATGGAAGGAACATCTTATTTATCTGAGAGAGGGCCTGGAGCCAGTAGAAATGAAGGAGTTCGTACAATCAATTTGATATTAAATGATGTCGCATCTGCAGTTGTCATAGTAAAAACTGAAATCTGTGTAAGAATCTCGAGGTAAGTATTTTAATTGTGTATTTACCTAAATCTGTATGCATCGCTGAAGTTAGCTCTGGCCTAACTGCAGCTTCTTTTGCAAGGATTATGAAATTATTGAATGAACAAATATTTTCACAAATTTTTCATTTTAGAATTATTGCTCAAAGTGGCATGTTGTCTGAATGTTTATTGTGCCCGTACTGATATTTTTTGAAGCAATACAAACTGAGAGTTGAATTTTCTTCTCTTAGCTAATGTAAGTTTATGTATAGTGTGTAGAGTTAGTCATGAATGCAGTTCCTGCTCATTGCACCTATACAAGCCATACCCCTAACTCGAGGGGATTTCATTTGAGTGGGCTACATTTAAAATTATATTCATACATTGTTCAATTATAACGTTCATGAATTGCAGGCCATGTTTGCATGGGTGTGCCTGGGTGGTTTATGATTTATTTACTCCTGGTGTGGGTGTATAGGGAGCTGTATAACTGTTAATGATTTGGGCAAAGGATTTTATTGCTGTGCACTAGTGGTACACTTAGGGTCTGCACAATTTAAACATAGGTGTGGTACAGCAGCACTCACACGTATATATATATACTGAAAATGTGCTATTGAAACCCATATATATGTAGAGTCACTGCACCTGTGTAGATGAAGAGTATGTAAATTATCCTATTTATCATTATTCAAGAATCTCTAGATTCTCTACGTAAAACTCGGTATTTATAAACTAAGAAGTTTTTAAAGAGTCACCTGGTATCCAAAGATATTGATTTTGATATTAAACCTGTAAAAAAGTGTGTTTTTATAACCAGTTTCTGATTCAGATTTCAGACCCGATTCAAATTCAGATTCACTAGACGTCTGATACCATGATACCAGGAGTAAGATAATATAGGATCTATATTATCTTACTCCTGATGATACCATGTCTGGTACTATATGTACTACATGGGCTTAAGAAATTATGATGGATAGCAGCAAAGTTTTGACATCAAGGAGAGAGCAGGAAAGCCATGTGTATATATATATATATATATATATATACACACATATAAATTCCTTGCAGCGTTGCGCCAGAAGGAGCGGTGAGGTACGGTCTCGTGAGTGACCTAGACGGTGACATCACGGTGAAGTTCCGTGAGGAGTCCGTTAGCGGCTATGGGAGCGAGGAGGACGTGGCGCCCGTCGTAGTCGCGTACGTGCACGTCGCCACCGTCAGCCGGCAGGAGAATGACAAACGGGTAGGCAACGACATACGGTAGATTGATTGCGATCACGTAATGCATGGTAGGCTCAAAGCACATTGTGAACATGCGAAAAAGGCAGATCCAGTACCCACGCCTATATGAGTCACAGCGTAATAACATAGGCGTGCGTAATCGTTTGCTGACATCTCCTGCTTCCAGCTGTACAATTCATTGGATGTCGGGGAATAGAGAGTCGCCAGGTTACTAAATGTAACTTAATTTAGGCCGGATTAGTTTATAACACGTCCATATTCATATTGAAATAGCTGCTCAAGAAGCTTTATGTGTGACTCAACGAGGTTAAATGCTGTCATGTGGATTGGCAAAACTGCAGTTGTATAAAAAAATAGAATGAAAAAATTATACAAGTAGTTATTGTTTTGAACAGGTCGAATTTTTGTTCTATAATGTGGATGGTGAAGATCTGGGGAAGGCTGATCTTCATCTCACATGTGTAGACATTTCACTGGATGTAGATGCCGATAGAGATGGAATCGTAGAGAAAAACAGTCCACACAAGGTCTGACTCTGTATTTTTATCTGCTGTAGTCAGATAGCTGCATTATTCATTGAAGAATGAAAATAAAATAAAAACCTGGGGCCTGTTGCCAGAAACAGAATTAGTCTTAACATTAGTCTTAACATTAACAATTTCTCCTAGACCGTCGACATCACTTTATTTCGTATTGTTATGAGGAAATCTGCTACGATTTTTCATTCTCGTAACTCCGCAGCGTTTCTGTCAACGGTCTAAGAGAAAAAGTTAATGTTAAGACTAATGTTAAGACTAATTTTGTTTCTGACAACGGGCCCCAGGTAGTTGTGTTTTTCATTTTGTTCTAAATACTTCATATAAAAGGAAGTAACATATATATGAAGCATGTGTAACACTATCAATTTCTATCATTTAAGTTATCTTTTTGGTTACTTCACAACTTGCACAGATATATGCAATGCGTATATAGACAATGAATATATGCTGTTCTTTATTTATCAATACAGAATTTCCCGATTTAGTTGTATGAGCACGATGTTTCCGATAATACTTTTCATTGGAAACCATCCTTGCAGAACTCGTGGAAGTGGGGACGGGATGGATATGGCGCTGTGTTGCTGGTGAATAGTGACTGCGAAACAGCAAATGAGACTGAAATGCGGGACACAGATGACGAGTTAGTGAACGGACCTCTCGACCTGCTAGACATGGGCCGAATGATGCTGCGCACAGGTTTGCTCAGATATATAAACATACATATGTGTGTGTGGTGCGTGTGAGTGTGCACACGCTTTTGTGTGTGTGTGGGTGTGTGTGTGTGCGTATATGATATGTGTGTGTGTCTATATAAATGCACTACTAGGGCAGTTTTTTAGTGAATTCCTGTGTATGTACAACACATGGCACATTAACTATTGTCGAAAAGAGTAATTGCTAAGTGCAATGAGAGTCTAGTACGTGCATGCATGATGGATAGTACTGAGGTGCTGGATAGATATTTCCTCTTGCATTCATATGTAATTCTCTCAAGTTATGTGTGTGTTTTTGTCATCCATCTGTGCAAGAAGTTCACGTGTGCGTGGGATGGCTGCACAGCTTCCTGCCTTTGTTCTCCTAGTAAGCATATGTAGGTGTGAAACACTACAGTGTATGGCACTGCATGGTGTAGCAGTTGGGTAGTTATTTAACTTATTTATGTTAACACAGATGGACCTGAACAGCTACCTGAAGGATACAGCATGCAGCTGTATGTGGATGACAAGTTTGCAGACTATGTGGGAGTGTTTTACCTCACTGCGGATACAGAAGGTGGGAGAATTTGTGACGACAGCACTATATTGTTTCAAAAGTGTGTTTTGTTCAAAAGCAGCTAAAACATTTTAAATCTGTATTTATGGAAGCACAATTACCTTACTAAATCTATAATAATAAATCTTGTAATATTTCAGCAATGATGAAGAACAAGCATGTTATTGGTCCGAGACAGAGAGCCGCAGAAGTACTTTATCCAGGAATGGGTGGCGAAGTAGAGTTTGCTGTTGAAGGCTTGAGTTTTCCTGATCGCTATTTTGAAGGATTCCTGCATATTCATCTAGCCTTGTTCAAGGTTTGTCATTTATAGCTACGGGTGGCCATGTATGCTATAACAAAGGCTTGTTACACTAATAAAACATAACTAACATAAATATAACGTTACACTACTAATTAACACAATATTAAAAAGGAATTGTGTTAACATGCAATTTGTTATGATTTATTGGCCAGGGAAAGCTGTACAAACTTCACTCTGCTTGCTTTGGTTCAATTTAACCTAGTACAGTATAACCATATATATATCCTACTAAATCTAAGCATCTCATGCATGCATCTTAATTTTTAGCTCACCTTGACATCGTCAAGTTGAGCTATTACCATGGGTCGTCGTCCGTCGTACGTCCGTCCGTCCGTCCGTTCGTCCGTCCGTTCGTCAACATTTGGTTTCGGTCAACGATAACTCAGGAACCGTTTGACCCACATGTTTGAAATTGGGTTTAGTTGTTACTGCTATGCTCCCATATGGAACGTCCTATTTTGAAGCACGCCAGTCGACGTACTTTCGAGCCAAGGCAATTTTTTGGCAAAAATGGGAATTGCCATTAGTCAGTTCAGGTTCAACGGATTTTGCTCATTTTTGGTATGTGAATGAATAATGGCTAGGGGTTTTGATATTTAAAAAAAAATTATGCAAATTAGGCAGGGTTTGGCAATTATATAGCATATTATATAAACACAAACAGTCTGTGGTGTCACACTCGTCTGGTTCGTTTTACAAGATTTCATTGACAATATCTTTAATGCAAAATTGGTATTTCCTGTCCACTCTGCCGATAAAACGTCTATATTAGAGTAAAGATTTACAAAACATGTCGAACCCAGCATAACCTATTTATTTCAAGCGCCATCGCTACAAAGCGGGTATAGCGCCATCTACGGTCACAAATTGTGATTCATTTTGGTTTATAAATTATTATTGCGATATACAGATGGCAATCGTTTCTATAATGTACGTCGATGGTTGCTCAATTAAAACTGACTTCTTCTTACTCACTCATTTGTGTCCTTTTTTGTGGTGAGCTACAGTGTCATTGACACTTTCATTCTTTACAAAAATGACTCATCACCAGGAGTGATTAAAAAAAAGCTTTATCAAAGATTTGTTTTCAAGAATATGTCTCTTGCAACGTAAATAATTATACAATATATTATCTAAACATAGATATATTAGCTAAAAATTCACAGTTCTGCAGCTGTATTTATTTATTTTACAGGATGATGTACCCATTTATGAGGATATGGTACAGTTCCGTGTTGCACCATGGATTATGACACCAAACACTCTTGAAGCTGAAATTGTTTATGTTTGTGATACACGGGATAACAAACAGTAAGTAAAGATCACATTCATATACGTTGCGATATAGTTGTTATGTACCATGTTGGTATAAATGGCTGGTATTGTGATACATCAGCTAATAAGCAAATCATAGTGATGATGAATTGATTGTTGTGTTATTACTGTTCTTACATGTGCATGTAATTAATGTTAATGTTCAGTTATAGTGCTTCCACTAATTTGTGTACGCATATTTAAATTCTCTCAGCTTTGTTGAGAAGTTGAGGGGCTTTGTGGAGGGTTTGTCCGGCATTCAACTGGTCGTCTGTGGTTTGGATGGCAACCGAGGAGACCGGTGGATGCAGGTACACATCAGTAATAAACAAACTAAAATTAAATGTGACAAACGCTACTCATCCAACAAATAAATTGTTTCTTGTAACACCCTTATAAGTTGGTGTTTAGAATTTTACTGAGGAATTAGTTAGTGAAGCCAGCTGCTATGCAAGAGAGAATAGGTTTACAGGGAAAAATATATAAAGGTCACTCAAAGGAAATGCCAACAATGCCCTTTATATACAGATATCCATCCTATAGGGGTGGCAACTAATATAGGTTTGTTGGTACACTAAAGAAGGAAATAGGTAATGCTTATCCTGCTTCACCATGGCGTGCATGTGTGCATAGGTGTGTGTGTGTGTATGTGCATGTATCGTAACGTGTGCATGCACGAGTATAATCATCTGCTATAGTGATCTTACGAACAGTAATTGAGGAAATGTGCCATGTTATACTTTGCTGGATGCTTTTATAGGATGAGATTGAACTTGGCTACACAGAGGTCCCCCAGCGCCAACCGATGGCAGTCGTTCTGGACTCGCCAAGGGAACGAGGTCTCTGCAAATTCTCTCAAAGGCAGTGCCTGGTAATGATGTTAACAATTTTGTTAACATGTTTTCTAAAAAATGCCATGTTGTTAAATGATAAAAATGTGCTGGTTGATATTCATATGTGAATATACGCAAAACATCTATTGAAAGTAATGCCAACCAAGTATATTCGTGTAGTTAGCTAGAGACGTTTTGTAAGTTGAATATAGAATGATAAATTAAATCTGTGATTATGTGCATTTCTATTGGTAAATATAAATTCACTGTACATTTAAACCTCCTTTCATAGGGTCCAGACTTTGGTTACGCAACACGGAACACAAGCAGACACAAAGCAAACTCTCTGGATTCATTTGGAAACCTAGAGGTCAGCCCTCCTGTTAAACTAAATGGAAAGGATTTTCCTCTTGGACGCATCCTCATTGGCAATGCCTTAACCAGGTAAAAAGACCTTGTCAAACAAAAATAGGAAAAATAAGACATGGTTATTTGACAAAAAATATATTATTGACTGTATTTAGCTATATATATATATCTATTTCAAAGCTCTCACTTTAAACAATACCATACATCGGCGTGTGTAAGCCGTATAACCTAACTGCAGCTGTTTCTAATTGAACATATTTCAGTTCTTTAAAGGGCCGTCGCATGATGAGAGTTGTCAATCGTTTCCTGTATGCACAGAAAGTTCAGCCAGTCATTGAGCTGTTTTCTGATTGGCTAAATGTTGGCCATATTGATGAGTTTATGACCTTCGTGCCTGTACCTGGTAGTCGACAGGTAATGAAAAGTTGTTGTTTTAGTTTTGTTAGATAATAAGTTTGGCAGGAAAATGTGAACTCTCACCAGACTCAAAATTGTAGTATTATCAATTATTTCAATTATTATTATTACTATTATTATCATTATCATTATGATTTGTTGTTTCATATTTTCATTGCTTGTTTATATGCTTACTTGTCACTACTTGATATATCTTTATCATGAACATGTCAATAGTATATCTGTATTGATATGTTTATGCCTTTATGTATATATATACACATATATATATATATATCAGAAGTAGATAATAGTGAACCCCTAGATAATAGGGATTCCCTAAATTATCTACTTCTGATATATACTTTGATATACCTTGTGATTTTAGGGATTCCGACTGTGTTTGGCATCCCCAAATAAGGCCTATGGTATTTTGGAGAAGCTTCAGACTGATGGACATGGTGATGTAGTTATGTTTGAAGGTAGATAGATAAAGACAGATGTTTGTGTGCGTTTGTGTGCATGTATATGTGTGTGTGTGCGTGTATATATGCATTGTCATATTTATATAGCAAATCTGTCAAAAAAAACATATTTTCGGCAAAAACTTTTCTAATATCAGTAACCATCACATATTCCATACGTATGTTATAAGTAATTTGCATTACTCTGTATCATTGAGGTGCTGTTAATTTAACAGTGGCTTATAAGTGTGAAAGCTCTTTTGGTCGTGTGTGGTGTAATACTGTTATGATTATTAAAGGTAAGAGGGCATCGCGCCGCAGCAAGCAAATGAAGCAGGAAACAGTCTCAGAGTTGCTAGCCAACCAGACACTGCGTGCTGAAAATAAAAAGTTCCAGGTACTTGTAATGGTTTATTTCCTGAATCTGTGATGGAAATGTGTACAGTCAAACCTGTATATAAAGATTACTCACTCAGAAAATGCTGAATGGTATCTTTTGTTGTGGCTAATGCAGGTTTGATTGTACCAGCTGATAGAATAAAGCTTACCTGAGCTCACTAATAATATTTTAGTGTCTATGAAATATTATGAAAGGTAGATATACGTAGAGAGGAGGGCAGTAAACTTCCCAATAGTGCTATTTCAAGTGTAAAACAATTCTCCTGCAGGCATATATTGACTTCAACCGAGACATTTTGAAGAGGGAACTTGGACTAGAGGAAGGGGACATTGTAGATATTCCCGAAATCTTCATCAACGAGTTGGATCCCAAGAACGAGACGATTGAACCTCAGGCTACCAGCTATTTTCCAGGTGTGGAGTAAATCTAAAGCTACAACGGGGAATACAGTAAAGTAGCTATAATTCTGTTTTAGCAGCTGAACATTTTGTCATTTAGCTTTGTTTTTCTGATGGCATAACCATTACGGGAAGAGTCCAGGAAGAAAGGATACATAGATGTGAAACATATATACATAGGCAGAGACATAGATGCGCTAATGAAAAACTCTCTCTGTTTTTTTCTCAGATATGGTCAACATGTTGGTGTTGGGGAAGAACCTTGCCATTCCTAAACCGTTTGGCCCAGTAATTGATGGCGAGTGTGCATTTGAGAGGTATGTACTATATGCATGTGATTTTTTTACGATGCTTTATGCGGCGGTAGTAGCAACAGCACCAATAACAGTAGCAGCGGCAGTAGCGGCACAGTAATAGTCCTCAAAGGTACAATCGAACCCGTTTATAAGGGTTACTCAAGATGTCACGTGTGCATACACATGTTAACTGCAGATTTCTCATGGCATAGGTATGTTCGCTCAGCTTTGGAGCCACTTGGCCTGTCCTGTTACTTCCTGGACGACTGGTACACGTACCATCTGCAAGGTGGCGAAGTGCACTGTGGCACTAACACCAAGCGCAAGCCCTTCTCTGTGAAGTGGTGGGATCTAGATTTACCCAGGATGTGTCAATGAACGTGTGTATATTGCATGGTGTAACCAGCCAATCTACAAAGAAATTTCTACTGAAGTGCCTTGTGTTTCTAGGGGGGTCAATGTCAGTGTCACAAGTGTTCATGACATCGTAACAATAGTGTGTCATAACCTTTGCGTGGCACTTCACATCAAAAGTTATGGCATTTTAGACTCATGATTTCATAACTGCTTATAATGCTTCTGATGATAGTCTCCAGGTTTTATGCCCACATTGTAATCAAAAGAATACCTAGTAAAGAATTTTAGTTTTGTGATGTAATTACATCAATGAGGGATGAAACTCTCCCGAATATTTGCATGAAATATATATTTTTGTTTGATTCACATATATCCATGCAGAAAAGGGTTATATTGGCGTTTAGCATGTCCACTATTTTTGCAGCTCATTGTTCACTATATACAATTTAAAATATTTTTTAGCAGAATAGTACAATTTCCCACCAAGTAAGTGGCTAGTATAAGTAAGTGGTAAGTGGTTAGTAAGTAAGTAGCTAGCATTTATCATGGATTGCACTATATGCACTATAGTGTGAGAGCAGCTTAAACTTGTATTTTATATAATTTTATTTTCATTTTAGAAGTTTTGTTATTCGAGGAGGTGGGAGCAGGTGTTTGTCAGTGTGCGCAAAGTTAAAACGAGCTTCTTGTTGAAAGGGGGTGAGAAGTGCTTGGGGACTCTCGTTTTAATCTAGTTGAAATCAAAGAAATGTTAGTATGCAAAGAAAATTAGTGACGTCAGGGCTTACAAATGCGTTATGGAGTAAAAGAAAAATCAAAATATATAAAAATTATGTAAAAGAAAAGTCGGGTATATATGAGATTAAAATTTCAATTATTATCATTGTTCTTTTGATGATCATGTTATGAAAGTAATCTTTATATACATTGGAAAATATATTTTACATTGTTAACCACAATTACTGGTTTGGACTGATTTTGCTACTCAGAATTTGCCATTATAACTCGGCATGAGGTTATCCTGTCTTTAGTAATTCCTGGACCCGCCCAGCAAATCTGTATCATAGTGACTGGTGTCTAAAGAACATTTATGATGCTTTAAGGCCGCGGTGTAGGCTGACTAACAGAGGAAGAGTGACAGTTGGGGTGACATGGAGAGACTGACAGTGACAGAGAGTAACAGTGGGAGAGTGATAGAGTTAGTGACAAGAGGAGAGTGACAGTAGGAGAGTGATAGTGGGAGAATGACGAGGAGAGCGACAGTAGGAGAGTGATAGTGGGAGAATGACGAGGAGAGCGACAGTAGGAGAGTGATAGTGGGAGAATGACGAGGAGAGCGACAGTATAGGAGAGTGATAGTGGGAGAATGACGAGGAGAGCGACAGTATAGGAGAGTGATAGTGGGAGAATGACGAGGAGAGTGACAGTAGGAGAGTGATAGTGGGAGAATGACGAGGAGGAGGCGACATTTATGGAGGGTGGAGGCTGTGGGGAGAATGATGAGGAGCGACAAGTAGGAGGTGATAGTGGGAGAAGATGAGGAGGGTGACAGTGGAGAGTGACGAGGAGAGTGACAGAATGAGAGTGTAGTAGGAGGATGACTGAGGAGAAGGACAGTATGGAGGTGATAGTGGGAAATGATGAGGAGGTGACAGTAGGGAGAGTGACGGGAGGTGCACTGAGGTGATAGTAGTTGAGTATGACGAGGGTGGAGAGACAGTATAGGG